CATTTATTGGTTTTAATGGTTATAATTCTAAAACTGTTATTTTAGTTAGATAAAGCAGGGTCTACTGTCTCAAGCCCCAAATAACACATCTTATTAGTTAAATGTTAGTTTAACTGGGAAAGGTTGGAAAATTGGGTAATTTTTTTTCCCCTCAAACAGCTGTTTTTTCAAATACGGAAAATAATATGAAATTGTAATTCTAAAATATTAGAAAATTAGATATTTCTGTCATGTTGCTTGGCTCTAATAGCATAATAATACATATAGTAAAAACGTGCCTAGTAGTATCTTATTCTGTATCTTTCATAAAGTCAGCAGACATCCTACAGCATAGAGTTAATATTAGATGTAACATTCAGTCAAAACCCTGACAGGATTTATTTACTTTCACGTTGTGATTTCAAAGGGTAAAAGTTAAAAACCTTAAGAGGAGACGTCTACTGTGAAGGATCAGAGCTCGGCGCAGAACGTCGGGAGGAAAGAGTGATGAGTATCCTCTTATGTGGGAAGCAGCAGTTGGTGCCGCCGGCCGTGCCAGCAGAGGGCACATAAAGGATATTAAATTAACTTTAGACTTCAAATGCAACGCTTTACAGTCAATGGACTGGTGAAAGATGGAAACTTCACTCTCATAATGTCGCCCAAATGAAGAGTTTGAGTACAAGTCTGGGCTCAAACACACTTATATACTCTGCAGTATCCAGATTAAGATTTTTCCACATTCTGTACTAAGGTTAATAGTTAGAAAGGGTTGATTTCTTTTAATACAGCCCAGTGAATTACTCTGCTATGAACAGGGCTTGAAGCAGGCTTCATTTCTCTCTGTGTTGCCTTGGATTGCAACCAGAAACCAAAGATATACTCTATCTTCTCTGTAGCTACTATATTTTAAAGCTTTCTCATTTATACCTGGGAGGTGTTAACAGGAGCCGGATCGCTTTCAGGAATCATCAGCAGTGATGAGCTCACTTAAATACTCTATACGTACAAAAACCCCTTCAAATGCAAGCCTAGTTAAACATTCAGCAAAGATTAATTTACCTTTTTTACACAACAGCTTCCTAATCTAGACACTTATTTTAAAAGAGAGGTTATTTGGTTTTGTTATCTACTGTAGTGGCTGCTCCTCATGTAATCAGTACCTCAAGTACCATTAAGATTCAGCCTGATTAAAAAAAAAACAGTTCATAATTTATTAACTTGATGATGTTTTGAAGCTGAATGTCAGCCTGTTGACTTTGCTGACATTTCCCAGCCCAGTGGGAGATCTCCCCCTCTGCTCTGCGTTATTCACTCCTAATTAGATCTTATGGAAAATTCAGTTTAATTAAAACTGTTTTTACAAACTCTATATGCTCAGAGGTGCTATAATAATTCAAATTATGTGAGTATTATTTTTCCCTTTACTTGTTTTTTTTTTCTTTCAGTTTGTGAAATTTGCCAATATAGAAGAGGACACGCCATCGTACCACCGCAGCTACGACTTCTTTGTGTCACGCTTCAGTGAGATGTGCCATTCAAACTATGAGGACCCTGACATCCGTACCAAGTATGGAAATAGATGCCTTGTTTTCTGAAGATAAAAATAGCCAGGAAATGCTAGATTTAGATAAAGTGGAAAGTGTTTTTTTTTGCCTCAAGTGTTTTATTAACTCCTTTTGAAAATATGGCACAAAAAAAAACAAACTTCTTGAGATAATTTTAGCTACAATCAAGCAGTAGGTAAAAATACAGCTTACCTATTTTAAAACTCTTAACATCAATCAAGTTATTTCTGTCACATACGTTTTGTGCCTGCAGGATCCGGATGGCGGGGATTAAGGGTCTGCAGGGCGTGGTGAGGAAGACCGTCAACGATGAGTTGCAAGCAAACATCTGGGACCCCCAACACATGGATAAGATCGTCCCCTCTCTGCTTTTCAACCTGCAGAGCGGAGAGCGCACAGAGAGGTGAGAGCCGCCGCCGCCCTTATCACGTATGAATGGAACAAAGCCTGTTTTTATCCAAATGAAAATGGCTTGAAGAAAAGTATTTGGACCCCCTAACCTAATATTTTGCTTCACATCCTTCAGAATTGATCTTTAAAGGTTTTACCTAAACCTGAAAAATATCTAGTCACAGCAATTAGCTCTAATAGCATTATTGTAATGCCTTCTTTGCTATTTATGTTGAGTAACAGGGTACCTCACAGGAAAAAACAAATGAACTTTTGCTCCTCATAGTTGCTGCTGAAAGTCTTGTTCTCTCACATGTAGCCAACATGGATCGATATGTTGTAGATAAAAATGTAGCCGCCTTCTGACCTCTGGATTTACTTCTAACATCTTACTTAATCTAAGATCGGCTCATTTTGATCCTGCTAGCTTTAGTCAATATCTTCCACAAAAGAATACTTTATTGATCCAAAAAATAAAGATTTAATGTAGGTTTTTTATTTATTTATTATTTCTTATTCCAAGAGACCAATAAATCCTCCTGCTCTGAATTTCAACTCATTACTAGGTTCCATATTTTCTCTGTTACTGTAATTTATCTTTTTACTTTTAAACTTTTACCTTGAGATAAAGATATTTATATTTCCAAAGTTAAAAGAAGCACATTTTAAAATGAGAGCAGCACATTTCTTTTTTTATGAACCACAGAACTATAATTATCTTCCATCAACCTTATGAAAAAATATGTTTTAGTTCTATGGAGACGTTTTGATTCATCCTCAATACCTTTTTTTTCTCACTGATAAACAGACTTTTTTGTGAGCTCTTGAAGTATTCTTCATCTGTATTTCTCCAGTCTGTCTAAAGGGTCTTTCATTGTATTTTTTTTTATCTGGCTCTGACATTTTATCATTTATTTATAAATGAAGACATTGGATGATGATGAAAGAAGTCTTAGAGGTCTTATAGTATGTCCACAGTGATTTTAATGGCATATGAAAGTCTTACTGTTTACCTTAGAAATAAGAGATTGGTGTCATTGTCTGATATCAACTATCACTTTATTTTAACTCAAGTTTTACGGAAATCTTTTTTTAATCAACTCGCTTCAGAAATCTATCAAAAGGGATTTGTAAACATCCATAAAATTAAACATTTCATTTCTCCTTTAGTCATGCACTTACAAAATACAGTAGTCATATAATAGAATTTGTTTTATGTTGCATATTATATCAGGTGATCATTTCAATCATAACCAAATAAGAAGTTTAATAAAGTAAAGCTAAACAACAGTAGCATCAAATGATATAGACCGTGCCACACTGTTTTTAGTATAGATCACTGCTAACTGGGACAAGCGATCGTTCCTCATATTTGAACGAAGGTATGTTTTGATGATCTTCAGCTTGCTAAATGGTCTCTCTGCAGATGCAACTGAAGGGGCATGGTTAAAAATACTCTAACTAAGGGCTACTGTCAAATCTGGAAATACCAAATCAAGGTTCTCTTGAATGAGGAAATGTGTCTGTTTGAATTCACAGCCAAAAATCTTCTGGTCTCCTTATTTTCGCGAACGTCGAAGGATCCAATCCAGATAGACCGCGTCCTTGGAAGACGCAGGCCATGAATTCTAATGCAGCCATTGTCTAAGATAAAAAAACAAAAACTTGTCTGAGTGCGTGCTCTTAGAGGTGTGTGCCCAAGCCACCTGTGTGGGAAGGGGGAGCATAGGAGGGGAGGTGAAGGATCAGAGGGGCACATAATTAGTGCCGTCACTCTGTTATTAAGCATTTTATGCTGTTAAATATAAAAGTCCAATTGGAAAAGCATTTTTTTCTAGAGGGGTTTTTGACGCCCCCTCTAGTGCAGCGCCACTATGCGTCGCATACACTGCATACCCACTTTTTGCACCACTGTTTATTTGACCTGTTGCATTATTTTATACATATTTACAGTTAGATGTATATTACTTGAACTATTTTCAGGCTGTTGAGATTAAATGCTGTCCTGTCCTTGAGATAACCAGTTAGCTGAACCCAAACAATATTTTTATGCACTGAAGCCTAATAAAAGTAAAGAAGAGGACTTCAGTTGAGTATGAATGTCCTAGGTAACAAACCACATTGTAGAATAGCAGATTTTGAAATATTTTAGAAAAGAAGCTCAGATTTTGTCTAATATATCACTTTGATTCTGAACAAAAGTTTTTTTTTTTTCCTTACATTTGCAGGTAATAAACTAAACTAAAACTGATGCCATTAGGAAAATGGACCATCATATTTATTGATCAGAAAAGAAGGATGAAAGGATTAACCCAAGACTTTTGCACAAGACCATGCTAAGCATTGGATAGTTTTTTCTTTCCAAAGACAGGCTGTCATACAATGTGTATGTAACTTTTAGCAAACAGGTCAGATTTGATCTGTGGTGATTATGTTGAGGCTCCAGTCCAGACCTTCCAGACCTTAACAACACAGTCCAGAGCCTCCGAGTCTCACCTATAACTCTGCCATTTATCATTACTGTCATTTTCTGAACCCACTGAAAGCTCTGCTCCCTCAGGGGGTTTTATTAAACCACCAGCAGAATGCAAGAACAAACACACTGCGGTGTGGGTTGAAATATTTAAGAAGACAAGAGAGGAGGATGTAAGGAGAGAAAAAATTGGTGTGGGTGGAGAATAAAAGCTCAAGGAAGAGTTTGAAGGTGCCAGTTGGTGAGAGAATCTCTGCTGGCAGTGCTCCTCATTCTGAAATTCCCTTTGACGTCAACTCCAAGGTCTGATGGACGAGGGAGCAAAGGGGAAGCAGAATACCGAAGGATGGATATTGGAGCGTGGAGTTGTAGAAACATGGAGGCTATTGTCACAGCGAGGCATAGACAGACTGTCTTCTCTGTTTGTGTTCTGTGGTTCTGCTCCTGCTGTGCATCCTCATTTCCTTCTCACACCGAGTCCTGCTTGTCATTACCCACTGCAGTCAGTGCAGAATCTAATTACCTCAAGGTTGAACATTTTGCTCCACTCCGTTTATCCCTGTGGATGCAGAATATTTGATTCACAGATCGGACAGTTCAGAATAACTTCAGCAGAGGGTTAATTGTTAAGGCTAACAGTGGCTTTAAGTAAAAGTTCAAGCATGGTTTGTTAAATTCTGTTTAAGATGCTAACAGACCTGAGAGGCTTTGAACACCTGCTGTTAAGAAGTTCCTCAGTTCACTAGTGAACAGCTCAGAAGGTTTTATTTCACAGCTTTTTTGCGGTCTTAAAGAACGCAATTAAACTGAATCTGGCAGATTGGTGAGGAGACTTTCTAAATTTTATAATAGACAAGGAGGCAAATCCACTCCTAAAACAGCCACTTAGAAAATAGAGCCCCCCTGCGTCACATTTTCACAAAGTGCTAAGAATTCATTTTATAAAAAGTCTGCCTATTATTATGTATATCTATGCCAGTGTTTTTCAACCCTGGTCCTCAAGGCACACTGCTCTGCCTGTTTTGGATGTTTCTGAGCTTCAGCTCACCTTATTGCAGATGATTGCAGTTCAGCAAAGCCTGATAATCTGCTATCAATTGATAACAGGTGTGTGAAAGCTGGGAAACATCTAAAACTTGCTGGGCAGTGTGCCTGGCAGGACCAGGGTTGAACAAGACTGATCTATGCCAGTAACAAAAACTGCTAACAGAATTGCATTTTCAAAGACCACCACTGTTTTCATTTAAGCAGATTATGCAGAAATAAAAGCGCAATCGATTGAAAGTGAAGTGTAATTTTGCTGCAGGAAAAAAAATAAACTGCTGAACTGTTGGCTTTCTAGAAAATGTCTTGCTGAGGTCAGATTTTAGCGTCTAGGCCAGAGAGGTTTGCCTGATTGTTTATTCAAATACTAGAGTCCAGTAAATTGTGCAAATTAGCCTTACAATAAGAGTTTCTTTGTTTGTTTTTGTGAATAGTGATTTGTTTTTGAATCACATGTCAAATTTGGTTGCACTCTGCAGCCCCGGAATAGAAGCTTATTCTTACCGACAGTGCATCACATGCTTCAACTACATTGAAGTAACTAAACAAGCTCAGTTGTTGAATGGAAGTGGAGAATTCAAAGAAGGCTGCAGGAAGTGTCCATGGTGTTCATGGGTAGCATTTTGCAATAGAAACCATACATCTTTTTTTTTGTATTAAGTGAATGTAGAAGGATGTAAATGTGACATGGAGGGGGAGATTTTTCTTTTATGTTGTTGAATCAGGAGCTAAAAAAGTTTATTATTTTGCGCTTTCTCTCTCCTTAATCGCCTGTGCATGTGTTGAGAATGCAAACAATTGGGACTCTTCTGAAAAGCACTGATAACGCAGTAAAATCTAAAGCTATATTTGATTCAGTTTGCTTAAGTCATATTGATAGACTACCCTGACATACACTCACTGGCCACTTTATTAGGTACCCCATGCTAGTAACAGGTTGGACCCACTTTTGCCTTCAGAACTGCCTCAATTCTTTGTGGCATAGATTCAACAAGATGTGGAACAAAGGTCATTTCCAGCTTCTATGCAGCACTTCAAAAATTCAACTCA